AACAGCGGGTTCGACCTGCGCGCGTGTGTGTGTGTGTGTGTGTGTGTGTGTGTGTGTTTGTGTGTGAGTGTGTGTTAGAGTACTCCATGATAAGCATGTTGATGCAAGATACGGAAACCGTATTGCCATCAAGCTCCGAAGTAATTTATCGGCACACCCCTGTTATCCTTATCAGGCGAGCACAGGACTTCTCATGACACATAAGTGACATAACCCATCCCATGGGATTCCTGCGTGTAAAACCATGACTAGGACTCTTCCCCACGTATGTGCAATCCGATGGCCCAGAGAGACGTCGTCGTCGGAGGGCGAGTGGAACTAAAAAAGAAGGAGAGCATACATCCTCAAAGCAAGTATATGTACATAATATGATAAAACAGCGATTTCGTCAAAACAAACATTTTTTATGTTTTGTACGAAATTGAAAGTCCACTCTGCAGCCAAAATTTGATGAAATTTTGGGTAGGGCATTCTGAAAACGCCCTACCCCCTCGATGTTTTTGGACTCAGCCAGAGTCCAGATACATGCAGGGGGTACGGCGTTCTAAAAACGTCGTACCCCCCTGCATATATTTGGACTCTGGTTGAGTCCAAAAACATCGAGGGGGTAGGACGTTCTGAAAACGCCCTACCCAAAATTTCATTAAATTTTGGCTGCAGAGTGGACTTTCAATTTCGTACAAAAAATAAAAACTGTCATTTTGACGAAATCGCTGTTATAATCAATACCCGCGCAGGGGCGTAGGACTTCATCAAGCTACATGTGTTTAGAAAAACATTCTGCAATCGTCGTTTTATCACTCATTACTTCTGCGGATTTTATATTCATATGTGAGGGTGCTCGCGCTTCGATGCTTCGTCTATTGTGAAAAGCCACGTGGACAGGCACGTAGCGCAAGTACGTTTCTGTGCTTTGGAAAAACTTATATTCCGGGGATAATCGTGTGACGCCATCCATATGACCTGAGTCAGACGAGCTCCACTTGCACCATCGTTGGGTTAGCGGGGCAGATTAGTCTGATCGAAGGGGACAGTATTTGTCCCTTCAGCGCATGCAATAAAACATTCTAAACATTCTCATTTTATCCCCAAAGACACATGGACTCATTCATCCTAAACATCCAATCCATCGGTAAGGATAACCGTATTTTTCTAATTGGTGGCTTGCATAATGAGCGATTTCCCGGGAAATTGGGGGAAAGGATATTGCAGTCATAGCGGCAGAGTTCGAGGAGCGATATCGCCCACCAGCCCATCCCCAGATCAACAACGATCCAGCGAGTTGTGTGTCTTTTTAACGGAGAACGGCGGAATTAAACTCCCATTGAATCCCGTTAAATTCAAAAAAATCCCGTTGAATTCGCGTTAAACGTGAAAATGGGCCGCTCCCACGCTTTTCGGAAAAACGGAATTGATGCGCGGGGTCCGGAACATGTGGCCCTAGGCAAAAAAAAAAAAAAAAAAAAACTGAAGCACCTCTTTTTACAAGCGAACTTCAGCAATCAACAATCAAACAACATCATATATACAAGACTAGATAGTCGTGACCGTGATGCTGTTTTAAAAAAGAAAAACCCACCTTTTGGAAAAAAAAGACTGTGTGCAAGGAAAATGAGCAATAGCGCACTTCAACAATCAAACAACATCATATATACAAGACCATATAGTCGTGACCTCGAACCAAAAGCAGAATTGCATCACGAGTTTCACCAAATAAGAAAACACCAAGAGCTCATAATTGACAATGTTGGTAAAGTCTCATCATCATCAATAATGAAGAACCAATGTTGACATCCTATCTGGCGCTCGACGCCCATACTACAGATGGCAGATCCTATCTAGCCTAGACAACAATGTCGAAGATGACATCAACAACTTTTCGGAAGTACGAGCATACAACGACCAATGTCGCACGCTTCCAGCACCAGGTATGTCTCTTGCCTCACTCACAACCTCGTTTCCCAACACACAGATGCCACTTGCACCCACCCTGTGCCACACCCAGCTTACAACATCGCAACTCGGCTATGGCTGCCTGCTCCTTCCTGCTCGCCCGTGAGCGAGTGAGCGCTGGCCAGCTATCAGCGCAGCAGCGCTTACGCAACATGCAGCCAGCGCCCGAATGCCAAATGTGGAGGCAGGCCTTTTGCTATATGGAAGTGGCCTGCCTGCTTGCTGTCTAAGGCTGTGTTGGACCTTTCCCAAGAAGCTTCTGGTAGGCCCCGGTAGGCTGAGGCCCAGTCCACACAACTCAGACCTTGGGCATGTAGTAGTTGCTCGCGCCCAATTGTCAACGGCCTGTGTTAGGCCCACATCGTGTATCCAGCCCCGGCCTGCCTGCAATACATTCAAACAGGCTGCCCAGGGCGTGGGTTCTTCCAACCAACTGGCGCTGCGCAACTGCCTGAATTTCCTTGAGTTGCGTGGTGACCAAAATAAGGGCCCTCAGGCCCTCGTCGTGCCTGCCTTCACGTAGGGCGGCCGACGTGATACTTGGCAGGGCCTGAAAGAGGCTCATAGGGACATAAGCCTCGCATGTGTAAACCCAAAAAAAAAACACTCATTTTATTTTAGGTTTTGTTTTTTTCATTGTGTGTTTATGTTTTGATTTTTTTTAAATATATTTAAACCTAAAAACATAAAAATAAAAATAGAAGGTTGTAGTCCTTGAAAAATCCTACAACCCCATATTTTTTGTTTTTTTTTTGGATAATTTTTAGCCCAGGAAAAAAAATCATCGCGGACCCCGTTAATTCACGTCCAACATGCATTTGAACGGGAGTTTAACGTGAATTCAACGCGCGTTGAATTTTTCAACGTGGAACCCACGTTGAATTCAAAATCGGACACAAAAAGCCAGCAAGGGCCGTCAGCGGAATCTGTCCTCTAATAAAAAAATGTGGAAAACATTCATACGTACAATCTTTGCGATTTGCCTTGGTGGAGTCCATACATATATGCTAATGCACACAGGCTTATTGACATACATCAGCAAAAATAGAACGCGTTCTTAATGAAATACGAAGCAATACAATTGCATACATACCCCCCGTCCGGGCTCTATTCACATGGCAGAGATGTGACAAATATTCCGAGGTTCCCTGTTTTTAACATATAAGATCGAGAGTATTCGGCGCCATCCATCATAGTATCCAATCTCTTTGCCGATCTTGTCGGTCGATTCGTGGATAGATATTGAGTCTAGGGGCAATCTCGTTCGCTAGAAAATATACATGTATATATATATATATATATATATAAGCCATGCATTGTAATTATTACTCATCACGCCTATCCTTAAAACAATCATCCAAGCAAAGATCGCAATTCAAGATATGAGTGATCACACTTTAGAGAAAACACGTGTCGATTACATATCCAACGCCCTCTTTTCAGTAAAAGAATGAACTCTCTTCTGACCCAAAAGCTGAAGTGTCACCGCTCTCCTCTCCTTCCCACTCACCAGATAACATGACGCGCAGACTTGTACAAAAAATGAATATGAAGAAGCTCGCTGCATCCCTAGAGGCAGTTCCACGTAATATGGGAAATCTGCCACAACAGCCAAAGCAGGGAGGGTAGGGGCGATCCCTGAAGCGCTTTTCTGCCGCTAGCCACTAGTACACGGCTTCATCAGAGGGAACACCTACTTTAAGGTCACAAATGCTTCGGGAGTCGGAGCGGCGATGGAGGCGGCAGAGCTTGCAAGTGGTGTAAGAAGGCAAGAAAAGAAAGAAAGCAAGCAACAAAAGCGAGCAAAACGTAGGCTGACATCTCGATAGTTATCCCCATCTTTTCATCCGCCCCCTCTCCGTTTAACGCCATCGCCCCTAGCTCGACCAGTCTGCAAACTGCCCGACGCAGAAGTTGAAACGGAAAGAAGACTAGCATCATCAGCAGCTCAACCCCCCTGCGTGCAATGCGAGAATCAGCGCAAAGAATGGAAGATCGTGCAGCCTCGTGGCGCATGCGTGGTGCATCCTAAGTGACCGAAACAATCAGGAAGTTCTGGAGGTGAGGGCGAGGAAGCTTATACCCTGTCTTCTTCGTCATCAATCATTCGATCCAGCAATTCCTGATCCACCTGGTAATCCATGGCGAAGGCAACCGTAAAGCACCGACGTCCCGGTGTCAGGCGGCCACA